ACAGTCTGCGTGACATTGGACTGTCCCAACATGGAAACCAGCACCGGTAACTACTAACAACCACAACCAACCCCCCACCCACCACCACCACCCCCGCTGTGAATGAACCTACATTAGGCAATTGGTGGCACGGACAATTTGCAAAACGCAGCAAGATGTGCGTTTGCTGGAGTCCTCTGGCTGTCTTTGTCCTGCTGGGCACTGAGTTTATTTATGAATGGACTGTGCATGTAGGCCAGAGCCTGTACTGTACCATCGCAGGGGCATGTGCACGTGTTTACGGCGACTAAATATGCATCAAACACAGAAAACAAATGTGATTAAAAATAATCTGAGCCAGACACTCAACACCCTCCTCACACTTGACGACTGATTGTACACATTTGGACTGTTTCTACTCATATAACTTGAGTGTGATCATTTTTTTCAGTCACATTTGGCATTGAGCATATTCCTGACTATTTTTTTTTTTCTCTTATTACTCACATCTAGCTTTTTATTGGTGCCATCACTCAGCCTACAACAGACACCACAGCGTCCTCTGTATTAAACAGAGCTGTGTTCTATATTTGCATTTATTTTTCTTGTGCTTAAAAAAAAAAAAAAAACTAGTAGTTGCAATTTTATTTCCCATTTTTTTGTGAGGGGGGGGCTTTATTTGACAGATGATAGTAGAGAAGCAGACAGGAAATGACAGGAGAAAAATGTGCATGACATTCAGCGTGTGTCCATGCAGCTGGAATCTAACCGGGGACTTTGCTTTTAGCTGCAAGATGTAAACATGAAGAGTGAACAAACAGAAAACCACATGAGGTTTTAAAGCTGATTTCAGGAGCGATGTGCGAGCTACAAGAGGTCTGAGTTCAGCAGAAGTCAACGAAAAGCTGCTAATTATCAGTCAGAAAGAATTCAGATTGTTGTGCAGCTCCGGCTACGTTCCTGTTGGAAAGTTTTGTCGCAAACCCTCCTAATTCTTGTAATGCAATAAATGGAAAATGGAAGAAAATAAGAACACATTTCTGAAATCAAAGATAAACTCGAGGTTGAGAAACAACAAAAAGAAAAGAGGTTTCATGCATATTGTGTACAAAGTGTAATAGTAGTTATCTCAAACCAAACCACAGCTATCTCAGTCACTCCTAAATACAACACACGACACGTTGGCGATGGAAGGTTTCCGACAGTTTCGTGTTAAACTAAATTCCCGCAAACACACCTGCCTGGAAACGCCTGGGCTGCTTAAAATCCCGATGGCTGTTCTCAGCCTCTGCCCTCCATCCTGACCTCTGCCCTCCCCTCCACGCCGCCTCTATCTCTGCCTTCCGCCCGAAGAGGGAAGCGGATGAAGCAGCACAGCCGGAGTTTCCGCTCGCTCCTTCCCTCCTCTGCTCGGCGAGATGTCATGCGGTCGGGGAGCAGCGGGGCGTGGGGGGCGAGGAGCTCGATGGTGATCGACTCCTCGGCCCCGCTAATGTCTCCTCTGGCCTCGGTGGAACGTGAGCAGACCTCCGTCCTCGGTGCCCCCGCGCCTCATCCTGTGTCCTGCCTCGACTTTCATCACCTCCCCGGCGGCCCGCACTCGACCCCTCCGCCGCCGCCGCCGCCACCTCTCCAGGAGCGAGAGCGTAAACATTAATTGCTACATAAATTACGTTACACTCTGTGTTTTTCACATTTCCCCCTCGGCGCTCTTGATGCTGCACTGATATACTGTACTGAGAGTACAGGGTGATCGGTGTGGCTGTAAAAAAATAATGTTGGCCTATAAATCTCTGCCGTGCTTATTTTTGTTCATAAAAAAGCACATTGTGGATAAAAGACAAGGAATACGTTGTACATGTGCCACCGTTTAAGGTCGCGTCACGCTCATGACTGACAGCTACGACTCTGCAGACAAAAAAATAAATAAAATAAAAAACTGGCATGTGCTACATCCACCCAGATGTTCGTGTACATGATTTTATTTGTGGCACCGACATCCCTTTAGGGACATAACCTCAAATCACAAGGCTGTGATTAATTAAGAGGCAGAGCCACAGAACGTCCATGACTGAGGGATGACACTGGTCAAACACTGCGCTTCAGGGACGGCAAACAAACGCACAACACCGGGCTGACAGGAGCATTGTAACCTGAACAATACGAGGAGGCAGCAGCTGGCAAACAGCAGCTAAAAACACACAGCTGACGGATCCTATACGAGTGTGTGATTTCTAGGAATTCTGAGCAGAAACGGGGCCTTAAAGACGTGAGCAAATAAATCTCTGACATGTAATCTTCACTCTGTGGTTATTTGTTTTCTCCATCTAAAAATGAGCAACAAAAAAAAAAAATAAGAGCAGTTTGGTGGAAAAGAAATTAATAGAAGTTGCGGGGAGAAATCTGCTTACAACCGTTTGAATACACACCCAGGTTTTAGTGAGTCCATCTACAAATAATCTGCAGCCTTTTTAAGGGATTAAGCCCCAAATGCCATGAATAATCCCTCTGTGATTTTATTTTTGCCTTAAGATCTATAAAAATAATTGTGTGGAAATCTCAAGATGATGATCAGTTGGCATTTGAGATGAAGGACGATGACGATTAAAAATCAAATAAATAAAAAGCTCCTGGTCAGGCTTTGCCGTATTTGTGGTCAAGTTATTTGGACAGCTTAGGAAGCTTTTAAATACATCGACGTATAACAATGAGACGTGAAAAACAGATCTGGCTGCCTGTTTGAGCTGCAGCGAGTCCACCTCCTGCAGCTGTGGACGAGTCGGCGGCCATCAGCACTTCCCAAAGACACAGTTCATTTACAGGCGGCCCCTGAACTGGCCCCTAATGTCCCGTGTTATCAGAATGAATCAGCAGCGCTGATAAATTAGCCGCTCGGCAACACGCTGCGAAGGCCTGTCAGCTAATGTGCGCACGTTTGTGTGATACTCATATGCAATGCTTAATGTTGTGGAACCAATTCTGTCGTTTCCATTATGTAAATACATTTGCCTCAGCACTATATTTTATGTATTGTCTCCCTTGTCTCAATTACTTGGGCTATTAAAAATCAAGAGGTTATGGAAATGAGGTGCAGTTGTCTGTTTGTAGTTTGATGACAAGTGCAAAGTGTTTATGAAAGCTCGTTATGCATTCAATTGCAGTCGGATTCGTCAACACGCTCCGAGCGTTCATCCATATTCCACAATGCAATGGGGTGGCACGTCAGTGTCTCCAAGCACAAACCGTCATGTTATCGTCTGTTATACACACAAATAAATAAAGATAAATGCTGTTTTATGGAGCTCTCCCCTCCTTCCATGGAGGTGGTGGAACACGTGAAAGAAGGAAAAAAATGAATAAATTTTAGGAGTGTTTGTGGCCTGTGCCAGAGCAAATAAGCGTTTGATGAGTCAGTTTGGGTAACTTACTGATAATTAGCCAAAATACCTGAGGAAATAATCAGGGAGGATTTCTGTAGCAGCAGATAGGCTTCTTCCTTTTTCTTTCTTTCTTTCTTATTTTTTTTTTAAAGAATCAAAGCTTTCCCTGATATATAACTTCTATTTCGATCTTTTCAAAATGTCATTTTGCAATTTTTCCTGCGTGAAGTGCAACATGAAACAAGTTGGACTAAAATTGCTCAGCAATCACAGATTAATTGAAACAGTGAACGGCACTGTGTAGTCGCTTGTGACCGTTTTAAAACAGAGGAAATGCAACATCTCAAAGAGACAAGACGGGAATGTTTCAACGGCCAAAAAGCTGCCGATTGCATTATTATTATTTCAGTAAATGTATATAAAATAGTGCAGAGCGGTGTGACGGTCATTGGCAGGAATGATGTGGGGCAAAAAACAAAAAAAGAAGCCACACATGGGATTTGTTTACCATGAAGCCCGTCAGCATCCATTACAGCACGGCTGCAGCGAGACGCTCAGAAAAAAGTCACAGTTATTATGTTACAGTCACTGAAAATCAGCCTGCGTTTCTATTTTCATTACAGATCTAATTGATGATCTTACAGCACGTCTGACTTTGTTAATACACTCACTTCTTCATTAGGGGCTCCTCACAGCAGCATGAAAGGTTAGAATTTTTTTAAAAAAAGACAAAAATAGTGACATAAAATTAAATATTATTCTGCGGGGTAGAATAACCGGTGGTATTTCTGTGCTCCTTTCTCTTCCTGTTGGAGGCCCATGAGTGTGTCTCCAACTTGAGCTGTTCCACTGCTCAGTGTTGCAGCAGAGTTCAAGCCTCTAATGAGGTAAAAATATATTACAGGAGACAACAGAAAGAAGAAAGACTTATTACTGCTGTGTTCAGGATGTTTAGCAGGCTGCGTTTAAATGTAGGGATCCTTCCTCTGGCTGCTGCTGCTGCTGCTGCTGCTTTATGACAGTGCAGCTGTGAGTTGGAATATAAAAGTCAATGATAAAAACTGACTTATTTAAATTATGGAGGAAATCAGTGAGGAAGTTAAACGGCTCCTTTTCTTTAAAAACGAGGCGCTGCATAGTGAAACAAAGCCTCCTTCTTATTAAAAGCAGGTTAAAACCTCTGTAAAAGCGCTTTAATAGTTGAATGTCGCCCATCTCCCCGGACACGTTGGAGACAATCAAGTCTTTGTGAGGAAATAAACGCAGCAGCAACTAAACTTTGCAGAGAAAAGACGATGCGTCATTTAAAGCCGCCGCCGCTGCTGCTGCTGATACATTTTGTTTTTTCGTTTCTATCCAACAAGGAGACGACATGTGTTCATTGTCTCTCATCATTTCCAAATGCACAAGCCGAACCCGGAGCGCAGCGAGCAGGAGGACGGAGCGGCGGCGGCGGCGGCGGCGCGGGGTCGAGCCGGGCTGCCGTGCGCTCCGATGCCCCGCCAAGGTGCGCACGACCTCTGCTTCCAGACTGGGAGGGAAAAAAATACAGAGAAGCCCCGCAAAAAAAAAAAAGAAAAAGAAAAAAAAAAAACAAGTGCTGCAAAGTTTTTTTGGTTTGTTTGTTTGTGTTGTTTTTACCTTTTCTCTTCGATCGCCTCCTCCTCCTCCGCTTCAGCTTGCATTTGACCTGGCCGCTCTGAGCGCCCGACGCGCGGCTGCTGTTTCCAAGTACGGATGCCATCAGCGCGGCAGCCTCTGGAGCGAAGCGCAGGAATAAACTTGGACTCGGCGGCTCCACTCTCCTTTGTACTTGTCTCGCGTCAGCCTCCGTTGCTCTCTGATAACGCGGCGTCCTCGGGTTTGACGTACACTCGGACTATATATATATATATTTATTTTTTATCCCTCCAAACCAGAGAGAGGTGGAGAGAGATGGAGAGAGGGGGGAGAGAGAGAGGGAGATGGAGAGAGGGGGTCGCGTCTTGCTGTTCCTGTATCACCTCAGAAACTCCAGCAGCTCGCCTCCAGCTCGCGGACAGACTGTTTGCAGCGCAGCGTGGCAGCTCTCAGCAGCTCTGATACCGGCGCCCTGTCTGCTGCTGCTGCGCTCCTCTCCGGCGAGCTTTGCTTTTTTTTTTTTTCTTTTTTTTTTTCCTTTCCGCGCCTCTGCAGAAATTTTGGCATCAGCCACTTTGAATTCAATCATGCAGGACGCCTATCTATTTGCTGCCGAGCTTTCTAATTAGGGTCCAATCCTGGCTGTCTGGGAGGTGTGACATCACCAGCGACACCCACCAGCTCACACCCCTTCTTCACTACAAAAAAATAAAAAAGAAACGTTTTGTCTCATTCCCTGCACTTTTTCCTCCCGCTGCAGGGGAAATGTGTTCTTTCCCAGCACCTCCACATGGGGGGTCAGAGGTCAGGGCCGGCCAGGGATCCTTGCTCAAGGGCACATCAGCAGATTGGATGATACCAGGGCTGCGAACTCACCAGCAACTTTAGGCAAAAACAGCCAAATGGGTTTCTGGTTATAGAGGAGGGAAATAAAAAAACCTCTCCACAGAGTCCTCTCCTCTCCTTGTACAGCTGTGTTTAGGATTTGCAGTTTTCTTGTAGGATTAATCTGAACTAAATTCCCTCTCGTTGAGTCGTCCACAAAGAGAGATTACTCTAAGATGCAAAATGTTCAATTAACCGGCCTCTCAAAAGCATCCTTGATATCCTGTTTCTGACTAATTCTGTTCCGTTTTCTACAAAAACCTACTCCAGAACTCCTGTTTGAAACGTTGCAGGTGACCTTCAGCGACGTGTTGTGGCCACAAAGTTTGAAGACTTTGTCATTTTGGCACTTTTGCGCGAAAGCGCGCCGTCGAGGCTTTCAGAAAGCATTTGTGCTTCCTCCTGGCTGCGGGTTATTGTTTTATTCCCCCGGCCTCGGCGGCAGAAGGTCAGGTGCGCGTTGGAGAGGAGGTGCTACGGTGCTGCCGGACGCGTCCAGCAGCTGAATAAATGCGGAGGCCTAATTAAGAAGACGACAAGATGCTGTTGTGTTTTTGCATTTTTTTAAATAAAATCATAAAATCAAAACTAAAAAGCGGCCCGCTGCTGCCTTTAAACGCTGCTGCTTTCCCTAAAAACGTCCCCTTTACCTTCAGTCGCTTCAGTTTTCATGATAAAAATAAATAAAAATAATGCATTTGCTGGAAAACCAGCACGACACGTTTGCTGATGTCAGATTGAAAAGTCACTTTGAGGCTCTGTTGTTGGGTGGAAACATTTCCTCCCAGCCTGAGGGCCAGAGGGAGGCAGGGAGAGGAGAGGAGGGGAGAGGAGAGTGAGGGTGCTGGTCGGCCAGGCTGCAGCCTGCCCTCAGGACGCCCACAAATATCCATGTAAATTGCAGTTTAAGAGAAATCAATATAAGTGACAAGTTGCCAATGCCACTATCTGGGGCAGTAATGAAGGTGTGCTGGCAGGGGGGCTGGAGCATACATAGATAACAGCAAACAGGCGGGGTGGGGCAGAGGTACAGGTTGGAGGCAAGTGCATGTAGACACACACACACACACACACACACACACAAGGTCAGTAGTTGACAGATGGATGCTAAAGTTGCACTAACTAGCTGTGCTGGGTTATCTGTACCTCCGTGTGACTCGTGTTCTGTTCTCTTACATGCAGGTTGTTGGTTCAGGCCTCAAACAATCAGACGTCCGCGGACGAACCTGTGACCTTCGTCTTCTGACCTCCTGCTCTTCAAACACGACGCTGCTCCATTTGTGTTGCTCAGAAAAACACACGACACCAACAGATTATTAGTCAAAGAAGTTCCACATGTTGGAATTCCTGGAAAGTTTAGTTTAAGTTAACAGAAAGGCATCACTGCATGAAGGAAGTTAGACAAAAAAAAATAAAAAATATATATAACAATAAGAAATTTGGGGGTTTACTGTCGGGTTTGAAGATGGTAAATATCAGTCACAAAGGATCATGTGGGTAACAGCTACAGCATGATGACAGTAACGACATTTAATCTAATGGGATTATTTTCTCTATTAATCATTAAACTGTTTTTTTTTCTGGAAAAAAAAAAAAAGATAAATTTCCTCAGGGCTCCAGGTTACATCTCGAGACGGCTCGTTTTGTTCAACCAAAACGCAAAACATTCAGTTTACTATTATATAAAGCAGCCAATACCAGTAAATGCTCACATTTAGGAACCTGGAGGAACAAATGTTTCTCTTCTGTTGCCTAATTGACTAAATGACGAGTGGATTTAGTCCAGACTA